TTCCTCTTATTTTGTTTACTTCACTCCATTAACGCCATAGCAGGTCAGGTTATTACCATTTTACATTCTATTGTGCCCTTCTCCTCAGCGTTGGCCTTTGTGAAGGCTCGTCAACTACCGTTTCGTTGGCTCGATATCTCGGTAAGATAAGAAAGGTCAGCAATGGCGGCTGTAATCTGGCGCGTATGGATAGCGATACGCTTTTATTCGGGCTTCATTTCGAAAGTACGCAAAACAAAACATGCCCACGGACACGATTCAAACGCTACGGGGGATGCACGTAGCTTTCAGATTGCACCCTCATCGGATTGTCCAGACAAAATCAGTCGGATATTAAGCGGACGAACTTCTGCCAGCGCACACGTGGCTCTCAAACGTGAGAAAGCAAGGTTCCGATGAAACGCGCTTGCTACATCAAGTTTCGCTTTTAAATCTGTCCGATAACGCGGGTTCCAACTTTCGCAGCAATGCCAGACCACCGCCAATATAAATTCTTCCTCTTCGCGTGCCAAACATTCGTCAAATCGCAATCGTCAGTCTAAAGTTTCCTCTGGGAGCAAAGCTTCACGCCTTTTGAATGGTTGCCAAGCGGTCAGCGGACACTAATGAGAAGAAAAGAATCCGGGATGCGAGGTGCGTAGAGGGGTTTATTTGAGCCTCGGGTTGCGGAATTAGCTCACACACGGTCACACGATTTCGTAATATACTCCGTTTCATATTAAGCAATGGTGCCAATCAAGTTTCTCGGACTGCGCTAGATCACGGCATTTTTCCAGCCGCTGCGTGTGTTACCGCCAACGAACTTTTGGCCCCGCTCAGACTCATGATGAAACGATTTATAGAGTATGTACCACAATTATTCATATATCTGAGTTTTCGGTCACTCTTGCGAACTGCCGCTGAAACAGCTTCAGGTATAGTCAGTGCAGAATTAGCACGAATGCCCCCGGGATAAACGCCATTCCAATATTTACAAGCGTGCGATCTCCTCGGCCCAACACGCGCCTATTCGTCGCTTCGGAAAGCGAGCAAATAACGCGCCATTCGCACGAACACTGAAAGTTGAACCGGCCAGGCTTCCTTTTTTGAAAAGGCCTCTTCTAGTCACCGAGGAGGAGCACGGCAGGGAGGAGCTTGAGTTGTCTCGCTTCTAGCACGAGTCCGACGCTTCGACGTCGCGTGCACGCCGAGAGCGCGCTTGTAGCCAAAGCATGGCGGAAGAGCGCGTGCTGTTGGAGGCGTTCACAAAAACACTCCGTTTTCACCCTGCCAGTTACGGTAGAACCGAAATGTATTAGAGAAATGTCACGGAAGATCGAGTGGAGACATCCAGGACTGCTTTGACAGGAGAAAACAAACATGGAGGAAGTGAACGTGAACCTTGCTATTACTGGTTCTACGAATGTCCTCATATGAGAATATATATATGAATAAAAGATACCTTAAAATTTTGTGATTTTCTGAATATATTTTATTTTTGCTTCGAGTCGTCATCGAAGTTCGTTTCACTAAAATTACACGAATTCTTTGTTGGGAGCTAAACCAAACCAGCACGTTTGCTCGTTTGAATTGCGAATTTGTATGGTGTAAGATTGCACTAGAAAATGTCGAATGTATTGCTGTGGGCTCTTTTTATAGGCCTCCTGGTTCAAACGAAACTACAACGCTTCCCCTTTTTGATATACTGTCATCTATAAACTATGGCCACCTTGTGCTTGGTGGTGATTTTAATTTTCCTGATGTGGAGTGGGCAGACGGTCAACCGAATACTTCTTCCGCTTACAGGACATTCCTTAATTTTATTTCCAGCTTTGAGCTTTATCAGCATGTCTCATTCCCGACGAGGCTAGGCAAAACGCGGGCGAGTACGTTGGATCTGCTTTTTAGTAGTAGGAAGGGGCCTCATAACACCTCTGTCCACTATTCCTGGTATTGGAGATCATGAAATAATAATTGGGGGCATAACCAGCGCGTCCGAAACCAGTGGGCCAAATCCACCTAGAAAAGTTTTCTTCTATAATCGCGGTAACTACCAGGGCATCTCAAGTAATCTTTGTGACTCTTTCCCCGAGTTTAGAGAGCTTTCCCATCTACTAGTTGTTGAAACTCTGTGGAATCTCTTTAGGAATAAATTAAATTATTTAGTTACTGCATTCATCCCCTCCAAAATACTAAGCTCCAGGCGACGCAGAGACAAACCGTGGATGACCGCTGAACTACGCTCCTTGCACGAAAGAAAAAGGCGAGCATATTTGAGATACCGCAAAAACAACGATAATTTGTCTCTTTCACACTTAAACATTGTAAGTAAACAACTCAAATCTATGTCGGCTGAATGCAAACTCAGATTTCATGCGTCTTTAAATGACAAACTGAGAAGGAACTCAAAGGAGTTTTGGAAATATGTAAAGTCAAAAAAACAAAGTAGCACTCGGAATTCCCCCGATTAGTGACAGTGGTCAAGCTGTTACAGAAGAAGAAGAGAAAGTGACACTCCTTAATAATTACTTTCAATCGGTAATTTCGCCCACAGTTTCTAATGAGTATCCGCTCTCTTATGATATCTCCCTAAACAGAAAGGATGAAGTTGAAATTTTTTACACCGGTATCTTAAAAATGGTAATAAATGGACTAAAAACAGACAAAGCAGGCGGTCCCGATGGTATACCCAATCGTGTTCTAACTGAATGTTCCGGGATCATCTCATCATATTTAGAAATCCTTTTCAAAAAGTCGCTTTCCGGTGGAAAGCACCCGAGCGAGTGGAAGACGGCAAATGTTGTTCCGATACATATAAGGATGGACCAAAAAATGTTGCTCAAAATTACAGACCCATTTCTCTTCTGTTCACCTGTTCTAAACTAATGGTACATATAATCTACAGCTATAATCTACAGCTACAGTCTACAAGCGCAAGAGCATAATATACAGCAATGTTTTTAGTCATCTAAATAAAAATAGCTATATCACTCCCTCGCAACACGGCTTTAGAAAGGGATTTCTTGTGAAACGTAGCTGATTGAGTTTTATCACGATCTTGCAGATTCATTTGACAACAGACTTCAAGTAGATTGCACATTTCTTGATTTTCAGAAAGCGTTTGATACAGTGCATCATGCCCGTATCATCCATAAACTTTTAACGTTAAACTTACCGACTAACATTATCGCATGGCTGACCGACTATCTACACCAGACTCCAGAGAAAACAGTCTGTTTTAATCATAGGCAAGCACTCAGCTCACATACGAGTCACATCCGGAGTCCCACGAGGGTCGGTATTGGGACCGCTTTTATTTTTTATTTTTATCAATGATATTACCCAGTCACTGAAATCAAAGATAAGGTTCTATGCGAATGTCTGTGTAATCTATTCTGAAGTTCAGGAAATTGCCGACTGTTGGGCACTACAAGATGATATCCGCCGTATCTCAGCCTGGTGCGACACATGGCGCATGAAGTTAAACATAAATAAATGTAATCACGTACTTACGTTTTACGCGTAAGCGCAAGCCTATCTTATTTACATATGACATCAGCGGAAATACTTTGGCGAAAGTATCAGACGTAAAATACCTTGGTCTATATTTTTCAGAAAACCTTAGCTGGATAAAACACGTGGACTACATAACCGCGAAAGCAACTCGGACGCTTAACTTTATTAAAATAAACTTCCGAGACTGCCCTATGAACATTAAAAGCACACTATATGTCACTTATATTAGACCTATCTTAGAATACGCAAGTGTTTCTTGGGACCCCAGCCAGGCCTACCTTGCGAACCAACTGGAGGAAGTACAAAATAGAGCAGCTAGGTTTATAGCAAGTAATTACAATTTTAGATCGAGTATTAGTCAGCTAAAAAGAGAACTGCATTTAGTCTCATTGGCCCACAGAAGTAAGTGTATGCGCTTAAAGTTGTATCATAGCATATTTCATAATTACCTCGGCATACATGAAGCTAACTACGTGCTGCCTCCCCACTTCACATCAGGAAGAAGAGATCACTCAAAAAAAGTGAGAGAGTACCACTGTACGACGGATGTATTTAAAACTTCGTTTTTTCCCTCTACAACAACCGACTGGAACTCTATCGGAAGATACAATGAACATCACATCTACAACTTTGTTTTTCGATAATATTTTAAATGCTGACTTTCTCAACTGATTCGTGCGTTCTCATGCCCATGCCACTGTTCAACTGAGTATACCATGTAAATACTACACATCTCTTTTGCGTGCTCATGTTATCGTGCCCTGTGCTTTTGTACATTTGCTCATGCATGTGCATCTCTCCCTCGCAATAATGCCTTAGTTAGGCGCTGCGAGGTAACCTGAATCAATCAATCAATAAATAAATTGAAAATCAAAACAGCTTGTTCGTTCTTCTACAAATTCTAAATTGCAGAACTAACTTATACGAATTCACCCCCCCCCCCCCCAAAAAAAAAAGCGTCTGCGTGTGTGCGTGCGTGTGCGTATGCGTGTGTGTGTGCGTGTGGTTCAGAGTTCACGTAGGTAATTATTGACGGCCGTTTTCTTTCTCTAGAAAGTAAGGAAATTCAAGTCACAACAAACGAAAACCTCAAACCAGGCCTGCCGAAACAAACAAACAAAAAAAAAAAAAGAAACGTTCGCTTTATTATCATTTAAGAAGAAAATAAAAAGTTAGCAAACAAACAAACAGTAAAATGCAAATTATGACAATCCATAACAAAGGTTGACGCATAATGATGTGAGTTGCCAGCCCAGACAACGTGAGGGCGCCAATTTCCCCTTAAAAAAAAAACGTGCAAGTTTGACACAGAGGACACCTCGGAAGTGGTACCCATGCGCGAGGACACCCCTATTTTCCGCTTCGCCAGCTTGCCATCCCCGGGACCGGCCGCAGCCCTACGCGGCGCTTAAGCACGGACCCCGGGGTTGGGGGCGTCGCCATGACTACCCGCGTTGCTAGCAACAGCGTCGGCGGCGGGCTACGTGTCCGCGACCAGAGCCAAGATGGACGTGGTCGGGGAACGCCGGGAGCCCCCGGCCGGCGTGCCGCTCACCTGCCCGGCCTGCCGCATCTCGGTGGTCTCCTCCAGGAGCCGGGCCATGTGCCCTTTCTGCGGCTCCTTCTACAACCGAGACGCCAACTCGGACACGTCGCTGCGCGGAAGGCAGGGCTCCTCGCTGCCGCACATCGTAAGTGGCCCCAGGCGCCGCCTTATACCGGACGTCCAGAAGCGTCCCCGCGGCCTTCTGGCACCAGCGCCTGAGCGTCACCTTCTTGTTTGATAGCAGGGAGTTGCAGAAGATCTTTCCAACACCTCCGATAACGATACGATGCATGCGCAAAGGCGTCGGCGGAACATCGGGTATCGTTATCGGAGTCATCGGAACGATCTGCTGAAACTCCCTAATAACACGTTGCTTATAGCCGTAGTGCCGTAGCCGTGGACGCATATCTAAATAAGCTATGGGTGGCTGATGACCCAACCCATGCATTGGGACGAAGAGAACGAAATGCAATGATGACTGGCTAGAGAAGTTCGAGCGAGTTCTCGAGCTCGGTCAGGGCAAAAGAGGAGCAGCCTGGATCGGATAGTGGGAACTGCGTCGGCTGCGCGTCCAAGAATGACGTTCCAACGCAGTTGATCACTGATGCACCAATGAGCCGGGGTGGGTGACCAGAACCAATGAGAGCGGCATTAGAGAGCATTCGTATATATTTGCGTGAAAAAAAAAATAATATATGACATAAACCCCAAGACTGCAGGCACAAAAAAAAAAAAAAAAAAAAAATCTTGAACACAACAGACCTGTGTTCGAGGCGTTTTAGTGTTCGTGTCGTCTTTTTGCCTGAATACTCGGGGTTTACTTATGTCCTATTCAATCTAAACCAGCTCGTTTGCGCCCTTCCACTCACTTAATGTGAATGTTTTCCAAAGGGGACGTCCTGGTTGCGCGTAAGTCATCCTCTTTCCGTAGCGTCGGAGATGTATACAAGGCCAGCGTGAACTTGATCCTTTCTTCCTCGACGGCACACCAAGAGGAACGAAGGATGATGTGGTCCGCGCGCCTCGTCCTTACCATGATGCGGACTTGATGAGCGCACGACAGACGGATGAATGCGCAGAATGCATACGCGGCGTGACACTCGTGCCCCGGTTTCCTGAGGTTGCGAAATATTAAGTTGAGTTGCCCCCTTATTTTAATTCTTTTTTTTTTTTCACGCTTGTGCGTTTGCGCAAGTCTTTGTGTATGAGAAGAGTAGGGCTGACTAGCGGAAGCGGCGATGTATTGGATTCTAGAATGTTCGGCAACTCGCCGCGCGTGCGCCGCGGTTGCCTGTCGAAATACCATACTGCTCCTAGACGGGCGTACGGAAGTCCAGACAGGAAACCAGGGGCGGTTTGCTAGCCTGGAAAAGTGAGCATGAAATGAAAACTGTCTCCCAGTACTTGTGGTCTGCATTCGCCAATGTGTCACTCAGGCAGTCGAACTAAAGTGCCGGTCCGATTGAATTGGAGTGAACAACATTCGTACCCCTGTAACATAGAGATTTTGAAGCTATATCTAGGTTAAGAATTAAAGCCACTTTTTTTCATAGGGGAACGTAAAGACCCAGGATTGCGAGCTCATTCGCATATTCCTCAATTAAATGGACATTAAACTCCCGACAAACTTTAAAATATTTTTTGAAGTGCCTCGACAGGACCAGTACGTCACAAAAATATACGTCCTAAAAAAATAAAAACAATTAAAAAAAATTGTTAGCGCAATATTTACGTTCCGCGATGCCCTTTTCGAGGTATAGAGCGATTCCGAAACATTCTTCTATATTGGGTTGACGTCTCAAAATAGAATGCTATTTCGGAATCGCAAGCAAGTGAAAATAAGTATCGCGACGTAAATATTGCGCTACAGATTTTTTTTTTTTTTTTCGGGGAAAGTTCATTTCTTGACATACTGTCATATCCAAGCAGATTCAAATACATACATACATTTTTCTGAGGTGTGTCTGTGTGTGTGTGTGTGTAAAAAAGAGAGGGGGGGGGAGGAGTTCAGTGTTTTGTTCAGTGTCGTGATTGAATGCTTTTAAAATTCCCAGGTGACATATGGTTCTATCCCTATCCATCTGAGTGCATGTAGTGAAAATTTTCAGTCGGGAATGAAATTATCTTTTTAGTTTGACATTAAGTTTTGACTTGGCTGAAAGTTTTAACTAAAGTTGAAGCAGATCAGTTCACGTGTAAAGTTTTACAGGCGAGTGTCCGCCTCAGCTTTCGTCCAAAAGCACAGATCTTTCTGAAATATTAAGTGGTTTAATAACACGATCGGATTATTGATGTTTAAAAGTTTATCGAGATGTTCCTCTTTTATTTCCTTTTATTACCTACTTCATCCAATAAAGATTGAATTGAAATATCTAAAAAAAACGCATCTAGATTTACTTTTCACAATCAGCTGTCGGAACTATCTCTGGTTGCTGCCACTTGAACTGGCCTTTAATTATAGCTTAGATCCTACCCGGTAAAAACACCCCAAAGAAAAACATTAAAAATGACAAAACCAGAAAAACCCCTTTGTCACCCCCCCCCCCCCCCCCCCCCCCCCGTGTCCGCCAAACAAGCAGAGGGGTGTCGGTGGGATTGAAAAGTGTTGTCAGGTCGGTAGGCCGTCAATTTTGGCAGAACTCCCACTAATCTGGCAACACTTGCACCCCCCCCCCCCCCCCTTCCAATCTTTCTATGAAAAAAAAAATGGGGGTTGGGGAGGGGGGGGGGGGGGGTTTGCTGAAGAATAAGTGTTGTCAGACAGACCAAAAAACTTCGGGCATGCTCTTCGAAAAAAAAAAAAAAACATTTTCGTGTCTTGATATTGAATTTATATTTACTTTAACTCGGGAAAGCCGCAGCGCCTCAGAGAGGTTAAGTCGTCCATACCATGAAGGCCTGCGGCGCTGCGTCTAACGATAATGACGATGAACCGCGTTCAGCGATGACGATGATGGGTCAATCGAAGAGCTACAGACGTATGCCAGATATTTGAGAGCGACACATCTTTCCACTCGTACATTTAAACTTCGGAACCACAGAGACGTCCGAATGTCAAGAACATGTTACTCACGAAAACACATTAATTCGTTTCGTTTGTTCCGCATAATCAAGAAAGATCCTGCGCGCCATTAACAAACTGCCAAACTCTAGCGCTGTCTCTTGTTTTCGAGGACGGACAACGTATTTTGAGGTTTCTCGTGTTGATGATATTCCGCTCACGTTTTCGAGGTCGAGGTACAAGGTGACGATCATCGACAAAAGCTTTCCCGTTAGGCAAAGTGAACAAACTTAATGAAAATAAAACAGCGATTTGTATCCGCTTGCCACGCAACGTTCCCGCAGTAACATGGCGTATGCGAACAGGCATCTTCTCGTGCGTTCAACCACGTCCGCTTCCATTTGGAAACAAACTCCAAACATAAGTTGGGAACTTTTTTTCTTTTCTTTTCCTGCCAGCTAGGTCAGACGTTCTATAGGCAAATGAACATTATTCATGCGGATTCAAGCGTTTTCCGGCGCGCCCCGCGAGACCATGCAGTGTATCCCCGGTCACGTTCTGCGGGTGTCGCCCCACGGGGGGTCAGGTGGAACAACCGAGGGCCTCACGTCTCGGCCCGCTCACTGATCCCGCGCGCTCAACAACTTTGTCGATCCGGTGGACGAACGCTCGATGTATATTTAATCGCGGTACGTCATCCGAACAACTCCGCGCTCCTCACGTCTGCCCTCTTTAGTCTGCCCCGAATCGGGAAAGTGAAAACCAACTTTCCGGGGGTGGCTAGGGGCGAATATAGACCAACCGCGCGACCTCCAGGTTGGCGAGTCTCCTAGACAACGAAACAGTCAACACGATCCCTCCCGGACACGCCACAATCAATGCGCCGCTTTTCCGGGCCCGACAGATATTCAAAATGATCCACGCGCCGATGTTTTCGCTCTGCGAGAGACACAGGACGGAATGAACGACCTATATGGCTTTGCGAGCTAATACGAAGATCACCGTCCATGTTGGTTTCCGAGGTTGGGTGGACAGGGTGTACGCTGGAGTAAAGAAAACGCGTTAAATGCACCAAGCAAGAGGAAAATGCAGATGCAGGTTCACTCTATAAGGTGACGGTCGTCGAAGCGTTCGAATGTGCCGTGTTCTTTGATAAATATGGTGCACAGCCCGCTACGTCGTGGCTACGTCGTGGCTACGTCGTGGCGCTCTGACGAGACAAAGCGATGTACTCCAAGTAGAGCCACGCGAATTAACATAATTCGCAAACGTGAGGTAAGATCCGTATTAAGCCGGGGTCACGCTGTTTATACATCATACAAAAGACAGTCTGCAAAGACGAGTTACCGCAATATCAGTGGTTAGAATGCATCGTGGTAACTTTCCCCTTGAACTCATTGCCATGTGCTGCATTTGAAGCACGGATCTCGCGGTGACTCGGGTTCAAATCTGTATGAGACTCTCTTTTGTATGATGTATAGGAAGTATTCACTGGCGGCCATAGCTGTGTGCGCGACTGCTGAGCGCGTGCTGACGGCGAGCTTCCACGGTTCTTTTGTAACGTGCATTCCACACCCTCAAGATTGCCGGTCTTAGCAACCTAGTAATGTGGGCTCGTTCTGAGCATGCGCTCTAAACAGCACCTACAAATATGGCGCCCAGTGAATACTCCTTATAAGCAGCGTGACCCCGGCTTAAAACAACAGTTATTTCGTCGTGCGCATTTATTCACCGCGAACGTGCGTTTAATCCTGCGACGGATAAATCATGCATATGAGCGGCCTGTGCAACGTGAAGTACGCCACATATACCGCCGTTTGAACGTTATGCATGCATGGCGACTGAAGATAAAATCTATATAGTGGTACCGTTGCGCGACGTGGCTTCGTTAGTGTCCGTGCACAGCGGCAGTCTGTATGCTGATGTACCTCATGTGCTCTGGCTGCCACTGGTTGTGTCACCCTCTAACGTTAACGTTGAGGTCCCACATCACGATGAGCGGCATCGTATAGGGTCCTACAGAATGTCTCAATCAGCTGCCAGGCTCTTTAAATCGACCGCACAAATCGGCTTTTTAACCTATCGCGCTACGATTTTGTACAGCGTTGCCCACAGGAGGCGCACTTTTTCTATAAAATTTGCAAAGAGCGAACTTACCTGAGGAAAAAGTAAAAAAAAGGAAAAGTCTTCACTCGTATGGAAACGCAGCGAAGCCACCGGCCTTCAAACAATAGGGCGCCGTTTGGCATGGGAGACAAGAGATGGCGCAAGTGGTCGCGACGTTAACTGCCGCCAAGGGACGAGCATACGGCGCCGAGAGACGGCGTTAGCAAACGATCCGCTGCGGCTGCCGGTGACGCGCCGCCGTTTGCGAGCACGCTCCTAGTGGTCTACTGTAGATGCCGGCACCGCGCCACCGCGACAAACTAGACTGGCGGCGATGCTCCGCCATTTTTGGCTCAAGTGCGTCCCAGCATGCACCAGCATGGCGGTACTTTGGAACTTTATAAAATCCATCCAGCGCTTTACCGCAACCCAGAGCCGTATATGTAGAGAGTTTGGCCATTCGTTGGGAAGTATAGGAGACAAATGAGGAGACGCCATTGGCCGAAAGAAGGCTGGGCGTGATCCAGGGCGTCTTCACAAACTCGAATGTGGCCAATCAGAAGCCGGAAATAATACCCTGGCGGTGGTCGCGAGAAACAAACCTGATAACTGCGTGGGAGTAACTCTCGGTGACTGAAAATATGATGCACGTGATGTTTCAATCATGGTCATCAAAAATCATGGTGGAAGAGTGTGACTAGCGAAACGATCGACATAATCCGTACGGCAAGCGCCGAGGGCCGGGAATCTGCCGTCCGAGCGGTCACACTCTATCCGAGCAAAACAGAGTTCGAGCGGCGCGTTCGTTTCTTACATCTTTCTGCATGATCATGATCGAAACATCCCGTGGACCCTATATTTACCCATAAAAGGTCCAATGTCAGCGCATGTACCAGGGGAGCAAAACAAACGTATTGACGATACTCGCTCAAACTGTCTCTGAAGTAATACAACACCAGGAACCACAAACAGCTAATACGAGACGTGCAGTGTCCGTTTTCTCGTCTAGACTAAAAGACAAAAGTAGTGGTGGTACTCAGTTATATTAGTCAATACTAAAGGCAAGCGTGCATTTGCCGAAGTGGCGAGCACGCGTGTAGCAAGACTGTGTATGCATGAAAGCATTTCAACAGCTCATTGAAGGGGAGGCGTTAGAAAAGGTGATAGTGGTCGCGTCTATTTACCCTTTCTCCTTCTTTGTTTCTTACCACCAATGTGGTTCAGTTACGTGGAAAATTTACGCGGATATTTTTAATTCAGAAAATTCAGAGAGAAACTAGAGACTTGGCGTTCGCTCTATAGATGAGACACAAGTCGCACTTTTAGGCAGCTCGTCAATTTAATGCGTACCTAAAAATAAAATCCCGTCGTGCGCGAGAACCCGAACGATTCCGAACCTCGCCAAACTGGCGGGTTATTCTGGCGAGAGCGCCTCCGAGCGCATGGCACTGACAGCCCCTCTTCCTCTGTGCAGGAGTCTCACCGACCCCTTGTGCGGGTGACGGGGTTCGGACCCCTGATCACGGACAGCCTGGGCGCTATCCACACGTACATCACGGGCCTCATTTTGCGGCCCACGTCGCCCAACAGCTCTCTCTACCTGTCCCTGCCGGCTGTGCAACCGGACGCCGAGCGTCGGCTGTGCACGATGAGCGCGGGCGCGCACATGCCCAGCACCGCTCGACCTGCGTCATCGGCGTCCGCGACTCCCAAAGACCTCGGGGCTGGCATCTACGGAGACGCCACGGGGATTGTCGCCCAACCCCATGAGCTTGCGTCCGAACCCGAGTACCCCGTCAGACATAGGGAGGTGCGCGAGCTCAGGTAAGTCTAAGGCTGCAGTCTGTCTGTCTGTCTGTATGTCTATGTCTGTCTATGTCTGTCTATATCTGTGTATATGCATGTCTATGTCTATGTCTACCGACCTACCTACCTACCTACGTATACCTACCCATACCTACCTACCTACCTACCTACCTACCTATCTATCTATCTATCTATCTATCTATCTATCTATCTATCTATCTATCTATCTATCTATCTATCTATCTATCTATCTATCTATCTATCTATCTATCTATCTATCTATCTATCTATCTATCTATCTATCTATCTATCTATCTATCTATCTATCTATCTATCTATCTATCTATCTCCCTCTCTCTCTCTCTCTCTCTATATATATATATATATACACACCAACTCGACTGTCCGACGTAACGCCAGTGCGGTGGCATTGCTGTCGGCACTGCACATGCGCAGACGCTCCACTTGACACAAATGTGGTTTCTGCGCGCGTGCAGTGCCCACATACCTGGTGTGAGATAAGTTAGTCAACATCGTGCACTTGGTGTATAGCCTATGGCCGCTGCAGATTGAAGCGCTTACTTATCCGAATGACACAACACCTTGGAAAAGTCAGAGTCTAAAAAGCTCTCATATTGCCGCTCTAACGGCGGTGATCAGAGAACACGCTCGCCTAAATCAAGCTCCCCCGGATTGGTAAATCCAAAACACATACGAAGACAAACTTGTTCGAATGAATTCAAAGAAGCGAAAGCGTGCTGGCGAGCTGATTAGGAAACATCATCATCTAAACCCCGAGACACGGAGAAATAAAATAACGGACAAGACATCTTGTCCGGTATTTTATTTCTACTTGTCTCGGGGTTTAGATTACTATAATAAATTCCTCGCTTTCTGCTTTATATAGGTTCTGAAGACGCTCGCTTTCCCTGCTATGGAGAAGCTCAGTAATTCTGCCATTAGAGCGTCGGGTTTTAATCTGGACAGGGTGGGTAGGCTTACTTAAGAGAAGGGTTTACTACACTCGTGGACAACTTTCTGTGGCATTTCAGAAAAAGCGAAGAGTGCGCGTGCACAGCTTTCATCGGCTCTCAAGGTGCTCTCACGCTGCAGAACCCAGGATCTTGGGTTCAATTTCCACCCCTGCCCGTTTCGATCTGGATGAGCATCGTACCGGCGTGCGGTCGTGTATCACTACTGTGTGGTGCACGGTAAAGACCCCAGGCTAGTGGTTGTACTGCACTGGCTAAATTTCTAATCTACAGCTGGGAGACTCATCGCCCCTGTGAGGCAGACCAAGTTCTAGGCTTTATAAACGTACACACAACCCTTTTTTTTTTTTCAAGGTGATCAAGCGCCCGTTCGCCCAAAGCTTTGACTGCATAGCCGCAGAAAGTTTTCCGCGAGTATAAGAAGTATTCACTGGACGCCATATTAGTGGGTGCAGTCTAGAGCGCATGCTCAGAACGAGCCCACATAAATATGTAGTAAGACCGGCAATCTTGATGGTGCGGAACGCACTCTGCAAAACAACCGTGAAAGCTCGCCATCAGCACGCGCTCAACAGTCGCGCAGACAACTATGGCCGCCAGTGAATACTTCCTATAGACCTTTCCAACGTTTACAAAATAACAGTCGAGCGCGAGATCTTCACAGCCCAGCACGCGCGTGTGTGTCGCTTCGGGAAACGAGCAAAGCACGCGCCATATGCACGAACACCGAAAATGGTACCGGCCACACGTTCGTTTATGGAAAGGCCTATAGGCAGTATTCACGGGACGCCCCATCTGAGGGAGCTGTTTAAAGCGCATGCTCAGAATGAGCTCACGTTAATAGGTTGCTAAGACCGGCAATCTTGATGGTGTGGAATGCACGTTGCAAAAGAACTGTGGAAGCTCACCTTCAGCACGCGCTCATCAGTTGCTCACACAGCTATGGCTGCCAGTGAATACTCCCTACACTCGGCGTCAGTGTTTCTCGTTGCACGTTGTCAAGGTTAGTGTAGCTTCCGCAGTGGTACAACGCTGTCAAAGCTAGTGGCGCAAGCGCGTGGCTTCGTTTGGCGTGTCTTTCGGACGAGAGAGCGTGCGAATGAGAAGCAAGACGATGCCACGTGCTCTTAATTGTTGCTGTTTTAGGCTGCAACACTGTGAAAACTATGGTAGCCGTAACAACGTAGCAGAAAAAAAAAAGTTGATGCCGAGTATAGCAATGTCGGTGTTTTTAGGGTGCCTCAGATCCTTCTGTTTGGGTTGATGCCATCCTTTGTAATAGTCGATGCCGACAGCACGCGCTCACAAGGGAGATACAAAAAAAAAAAAAAAAATGTCGCCGCAGTCTGCGGCACGAGTACGTGCGTAGGCACACGCTCTTTCACGTGCCTCAGAAGAAAAAAAAAAGTGTTCGGAACAAAATGGCCAGGTGTCATCACCCTAAGCAAAGCGCACATGAAGGCACCCTAGGTTTTGTAACTCTGCATCATTCTTCTGCGTGAAATACGTTTTACATCTATAGGCACTCGATCATTTCTTCGATCAACGTGTTCCTACTCCCTTCTCCTCTTACCAAGCATACATTATATGATATAGTTCAGCTACTATTAGCGGCGAGATGTTTTAGTGGCGCCCTCCTATGGTTACCTTTCGTGACGTCATTACCTTGCGAACAACAAGTTCGATGGTGTTTGTAAGGAGCATGGTGGAAGCTTGAAATTATTGCGATCTTAAAGCAACACTACCAACATCGTCGAAATTGAAATTCTTCCATTCCTCTTATTTGCGTCGATGAGAAATCCTTTGCTGACGTCATAGTCAGCCTTCGGCCAATCGCGGAAGGCCGACCACAGCGACGCTTTCGATCGCGCACGTCGTCAATACCACCGCCACAGTCAGTGTCTTGAGAAAGCATTCAGCTGTGTACCCCGACTTATTGGTTGTACACTGGTGCAGGGAAATTGTCGAGGAAGGACGTGCCTCCAGCAGCTTCTCAAAAATTCAAGAATTTTACGAGCAAACATTCAGTTCACTCATTGAACTCAACGCACTTTTCAAGGTAAGATCATCCACTGCCCGCGAGGGCCGAACGCTGCAGTTTCGCGACATTTCATAAATAATTGATTGTGTGCTCGCGAACCCGTCAATTTTTAGGAGAACCCGCGGCAAGATGACGCAAAACTTGAGGACCCAGAAATAAAGAATGAGTTGCTGCATGCTGTGTATGACATGCTTGAGGAACTGGTAAGAATCTGCTTTAACTTGAACAACTCCTGTAGCGCTTCCTTGCCTCGGCAGCAATGGGCTATGAGAACTATCCAACCAGAAAACGAGTATTATACGCATTTCTGTTTTACTCGTAAAGTAAACTGTCCAACGTATTGCGTTTTGTGATTCCTATTGGTGTGTACTAGCGTTGCGGTTAATAAGCGCACATGTTCATGTTAATAAGCCCTTTGGTTTGACATTTCTTCGTTTCAGCCAACATACGTGAGCAAAGCCGTTCTAAAAGGCATTATCAACTCCCTGCTTGCTACTGATATCCGGCAAGTTTTACCTTTGACGTTTGTTCCTTTCACTTGGAAATTGTGATTGTACTTAAATAATGGAGTGACGCCCTTTCAATTTGTTTTCTCACCAGACTGAAATCTAAAGATGATACACGCGCCGTTTATATCCTTCTGCAAGTAAGTGTCAATATTTACTTAATTTATTTGGTTTATGTAGGCATTCAAGTTTATTAATGCGTGAGCAAGAAAGGAGGCCAAGCTGTCACTGATCACATCTATTTTTGGTTTTGTTTAGTCCTCAAGCGAACGTGCTAATTTACGTGACAATGTCAATATTTTTGTTGCTAACCACCGTTTCTATTTTCTAGAACCCCATCTTTAGCAGCCAGTCTTCATACACAGTGTTTGCTCACCTTCTGAGAAGAGTGGTGTCACTCAAAAGTGCTGACCATCAACTTCTCATCCACTGGTTTTCCAAGTACGACATTGTTATTTCATTTACTGTAAAATATATTATTATTTTTAGTATCTAAGAAAATAATAAATAATTATTAGCTGCCAAGCAACGCGGTTACGGCAGGAAAGCCCGATCAGTTGCCACATTTTGTCTTAGCCTCTAAGTGATGAGATGACAAATAAACATTGAATTGAATATGAACGGATTTGTTAATTATGCTGCCAGACGTTTAATTGAATCACCTTCAAATAATACAAAAAAGTTAAGCTAACTTTCCGAATACGTTATTTTACAGCAGGATAACATATTGCAGCTATGGCGTTGTACATAATTCTACGCTTATCGAGTTCAGCATCTGCACCATTATAAAAAGCGGAGTCTCCACATCTTCATGGCTTGTTGAAAAATTTAGTTTCAAAATATTACGACCTTCAGAAACTTACTAGAAACCTTACAGTTCTCCAGCAGACAGGCTTCGAGGCCTGGTCAAACGCCTGCTCCAATTCATCACCATACGGGAATTCCCTCCAGCAAACGGTCACAAATTACCATCCATAAGCAAGAGCCGGTGGTGGATTCCATGTGCTACTCGAGTTCTGGCACTAATAAGTGAGTCAAGACTGTTTGGTGGCGCAAAGTTTACAAGCGTTTTGCTAAATTGTATTGGCAGCAATGCACATATTATCTGCATTATTTTTTAGTTAATCATCAGAAGTTAATCTTTTAAATAAAGCTCTATAGCCCCTTAGCCGTTCCATGAAGTCAAGAAAGTTTAGCTTTAAACGCGGTGAATATGATGTTTGTATTCAATGCGGCTCGTACGTACAGGAGCACCTAGATATTACTTTTAAAGAACACGACTCTCGTTTTGCCCAATGCCCCAACTTGGCTGTTAGGGCTGACAAAATAAATCTAGTCCCGTAACATTTTTTGTCCCACCAGATGCAGCCAACAATAAAAAGACTCCAAACATTTTGAACTACACAGACTTTTACAATAGTGCCTTGGACCACATCGACCTTATGTCTGAATACTACAGGTGGCAATCTCCCGGCAAGCACTCAAAGTAAGTCATCGTGCACCTTTGCAGTTCAATGGTGTTTGAAATTGTAACTACAATGAACTTGATTTTTAGCAGGATACTGACGAAAGGCAGTGTAGTCATAAAAATAGTACGAAAATGGGAATACTTAGAATATAATTGAATATCGCCCAAACACGTTAAAACACCTTAGAGTTTACTTAACTAGAGTTTAAGAAGTTAAAAATTCTATTCTAATACGAAGTTCTAAAACAAAGCTTCAAAACGACTTTTAAAATCTTATTAAATTGAGGTCTTGTATTATATTGTCTTTCGTATAAAATCAAAAATGAGATCTTGTATTATATTGTCTTTCGTATAAACTCAAACTGAAAAATGCTGCTTTGTACCCATATACCTTATAACCTTTTTTTGTGTCAAGGACGGATATAGTGTGCACACTGAAGCAGAATTGAAGAGTATAATTTTAGCGGCCGCAATACCAGTATGCTAGTGGGTTAGAGCCCCTACTCTACTCTAGCAATGATTGTGACGGAAATAAAGGCACAATGTATTGTCATTTATGCAGGTTCTCCTACTGCCAGTACCCTTTCATACTCAGTATTGTAGCTAAGAAGTCTATTCTCCAACGAGACTCTGAACAACAGATGATCCTGAATGCTAGGGTAAGGATGTTTTCAAGGTTTTATATGCTTCCACGAGCGAATTCGAACACTGCACACGCCCAGATTGCGGTATTCCACTTTAAAGCTTCTCAGCTATACTTGCACTATGGCACCAACTGTTTGATTTTTTTTGTACCGCCGTTGGTGCAAGAGGAGAGTGAAAACCCCTAAAATAGGGTTGAGGGATACCTCACTCTTCGAAATAAAACAGCCCAAGGCAGTGCCACCGTACAAGTGCGATGTGGTTTTTATACACCTAATTTCTAGTATTCCTTGTAAATGAAAATCCACCACATTACCAACATTACCTAGTTCTTGTAAATGCGTTTAGGACAGGAAATTAGCAACATAAACAAAGTTGTAGATCGATTGATACTTGAACACCAATTTTCTATTTACAGCGCAGTCTTCTGAATCGAGCCCTCCACCATCAAGCTCCTGACATCGATGTCTTCTTTCTCAATCTGAATGTTCGACGATCATATCTTGTATCTGACTCGCTTAATGAGGTACGTAAATTCTACGAGGTTTTACTGCGTACGTATCGTTTTACTGTTCAGGAGTCAGAAAGGAACCAACAATACAAACACTTGAATGCTGCAAGATAGTTAGTGAGGGGTTCCATGATGTATTTCAGATTGCTCGGAAGCAGACAGACCTGAAGAAAAAGCTAAAGGTCACCTTTGTCGGTGAGCCTGGTCTCGATATGGGAGGTCTGACGAAGGAATGGTTCCTCCTGCTCATACGGCAGATATTTAGTCCTGACTATGGTATGACTGTCCTTGCAAATTTATTTGGCAATGCTTTCTGACTTGTTTTCTTTTTTTTTTTATGCAGGGATGTTTGTGTACCATAATAAGGCAAGATGTTACTGGTTCAGCACCACACAGCTGGGAAACCTCAGGGAGTACAACCTGATAGGAGTTATATCCTTTGAAAAAACATAGTTTCAGATAGTGCATTGTGACACCAAAATCGGTGACAGGTGTAAGCCACATGAGAGTGCAAAACTTGCTTGAAGCAACGAAACCTTGAATAACGTTAACGAGGGCTTAGTGACACTTCCTTGAAATTGACTGTCCGTTGTGATTTGAGGGCTGGCCTTATATGAGCTAGCTCTCGGAGCACACTTCGACAGAGGATGCCGAGCAGATGCACTAGCATATCGTAACAATATCAGACGCATTTTGTGAAGATATTTGAAGACTAATTGAAAGGGTCATGCTACGCAGAAAATAACATTTCAGATAACTATGTCGGCACAGAATCAATCACATTTATTAAAGTTGTGAACAAAGCATTAGTTTCACGAACAGATTAGCTGCGGATTCATCGCCTCCACCCGTATACAGTAAGGCGGCTATGTCTGAAACGTATGTGATGTCAGCTGCCAGTGTCCCTCGCTTTCTCGACTTCTCCATTGTCCTTCTCCATGGAGATCACTCAACAATTGTGCGATGGCAAGCAATTTCGGTTGCGGAAAGACAACGAGGGAGGATTGTAGCAAAAGAGTTTTGTGGGCTTGGCCGATTATGTTAGTTCAGTCATGGTTGTCTGGCACCGAGATAATAATTGTGTAAAAACAAATTGTGTAACCCCGAAAATATTTAAGCTTGATGGGTGTTTTAGGTAACTTATGACAATACTTAGAAAAGCTAGTTCAGCTACGCATGTCGAATCAACGTAGTATTGTTCAGAATCCTATTGAGCCATTCAATATTTTTTTTTTGCGCTGACCAAACTGATTAATCAACACATATTAGTTATTCAACTTCTTAAATACTTATTTGTGCGCAAACCCTTCAATTCGGAAGTTTTAGAGCGCGTTGAAAAATATTCCATCGTGTCGTTTCCATCAAAATAGCCTTCATGTGTCGAATTTTTTCGAGCTTGAAAGAACGATTTTTAAATCTTAAAAGCTTTTGAAAAAAAAGTTAAAAAAAATCCACGTGACTAAGGACGCTGACATCTCATCTGGCTAGTGGGTACTCCCACGGAGTTTTGTTAAACCTAGCGCGAAATTTTCAAGCTTTCCTAAAATATCAACAGAATTAGACACACAAAGGACAATGGGATGTTTCTCAACACGCTCTACAACTTTTTGTATCGAAGCGTTTTCGCACAAATTAATACGCAAAACGTTTGCTAATTAATCTGTGTTAACCTGTTTGGCACATCACAAAAATTATATTTACTTCCGCAATAGGGCCTAACAATACTGCTATAATTCAACGCAGCGTTTTTTTTTTTTTTGTCTTTTTAAGTCTTGGCAGATGTTAGCTGAAACACCCTGGACCTTAAATAAAAACTTCAAATCGAATAGTTGAACGTTTGATTTGTATGCTGTGACTTCTCTAATTAGCCACGGTGTCAATTTATATTTCTAAGAAAATGAATCAGAATTTATATAAAAAAAAAAGTTCCTTAACCGTTCTCACCTCATGGGACTGGCCGTATACAATTCCATCATCCTGGACCTACATTTCCCCACAGCCTGCTACAAAAAGCTTCTGAACCCCCCCGTAGTTCCTCATAACATTGAGAATGCAAATGTAGGCATCTGCAAGTTCACAACTGATGACCTGGCAGAAGTGATGCCGGTAAGTGTAAACAAGGTGTCTAGTGTATATATAATTCTCTACAAGTCTACTATATCATGGATGTCATTCTTCTCTGTAACGTAGGTTAACTCGTTTGATGAGTTGGGTGAAAAGGGGGACGGTTCTGATGGTTTATTCCGCTGTGAATATGGTAACCAAGTTCCACGAAATACGAGAAAAGCCTCAAGTATAAATAAACTGCAATATGAAAGAAATACAACACTCCGCGCATTTAATATTCGTGTTGTTTTCCAACCTCAGTTGTAGACATTAATTATTTACCAACTTAGATTTACCACAACGATGAAGAGGCAGCAGTCCGAGCTAACATTATGAGCCCCTACTAATTCTGGAGAGTAATTTACAGTTACATAAATGACTTACTTGAGTTATCTCAAACTTTGCACATGAGAGTAGCATGCTTATTACGACGAGAGATCTTGTCCGCAGTCAGCGTGTTCCCACACGTTTGTGAGCGAAGTTTTAACACATTTTAATCAGTTGCCAATAAACATAGGCGGGTGTAGATAAAAATGGAATTGCATTGGATGATTTATTTATGCTAGTCTCCAGGTAATTAAATGCACAGCTGTAACTGAGACTGCCCCCTTTTATTTTACTTGTTTGAATGTGCTTCCATGTGAACATTACGCCTCATTTTCACATTGGGTCGCAACCACCAGAATCAAGGTCACCAGAAGATGGCGTTTAAAAACCACCATCATAATGCGCTTATTGGACTCCTGCCTTCTTGACGGGGGGCCAGAGGGTAGGCAGGGGGATAAGGGAAGGGACAGTGATGGGGTGATATAATCCCGTGACTTTGTTCATCTGCACACTGCAAGCACAGCAATATTTCAGCGTTAGCTGATAAAACAAGAAAAGCGTCTTCACACAGGTGTCAAATGCTTTAATATCAAACAGTTTCGAATAGTCAAAGTCCTCGTTGTGCCGCGCTCGACGAAATTATCAAAATGTACCGTGTTCAGCAGTTAACAAGTACGAAACTAGGTCTTAAAAGCCCCTTTAAAATTCTTAGTGTCAGCAACATGCACTGGTGACAGGGACATGACTGGTGAATAAGTTTTTCTAAACGTTACAACTGCGTCGGCTCCAACAAAACGGGGTAAAAACCGGTTTTGTTGGAGCCGACGCAGCTGTTGCTATAGCAACCGTACGACGCAAGTGTGTGAATCGCCCTTTAAGGCACGTTCACACACTTGTAACCGAGTAGGGCCGACTGAGACAAGACCGGTTCTTAAGCCTCTTGCGACGGCGTAGGACCAGCTCCACAGCAGCGCATCTGGTCCTCAGCCGTCGCAAGAGGCTTAAAGAAATGGTAAACCGAAATTTGGATTAAAAAAAAAAAAAAAAAAACGCTGGAGATGTAGGCGGGACGCTACAATCCTTCAATATCTCAAATGGATGGCCATATTTTTTGAAAAAGAAGTCGAGATTGAACCAGGCCGACGAGGCGCGTGACCGTCAAGATACCTAGTTTCCGCCTCTCTTCGCTTCGCTCCCTCAATACCGCGAGGCGGAAAAGACGCGAGGCCGTTCCCTCTCATTCTCGGAGAAACATGACGTCAACATTCCTGCCAAATGCGCCTCTTTTTTTTTTTTTTGAAAAATACGGTCATCCGTTCGAGATATCGCTGTATGAGTGGTGTTTTGGTGTTTGTAGCATCCGGTTGCACGTTTTTGCCGCGTGTTTTGGAGAATCCAGATTTCGCTTCAGCATCCCTTTAAAAACCGGTGATATCTCAAGGTTGGTTCACATGCGTGAGTTCGACCAATCGCGACTGCAACGGCTTGCGACGTTAATCCTTTTACGGGTTGCTATGGCAACGGGGAGGCTGTAAGCGGTATAAAACCCCGTTGTCATAGCAACCCGTAAAATTATTAACATCGCAAGCCGCAGTCGGCCGGACTCACGAAAGTGTGTAAACCAGCCTTCAGTCAGTCTTCCTCGGTTGCAAGTGTGTGAATGGACCTTTAGAGACAACGACATGGCTGACGAGCAACAAAACTGTTGATTTTGGTACAGCCAACAATAGAAGGAGTTGGCGTTAATTTTATGACCCTATATATGTTATGTCGTATTAATTATATTTTTTTAAGATGTTGCAGTGATATGTCAATGCGATATTGAATTTTTAGGATGTTGCAGTAGGCTTGAAGGAGCTTCTGTCATATGAAGGAAATGTAGAAGAAGACTTCTGCATGAACTTCCAGGCAAGTTGATCAGGGGCTCTTTACAATCTTTGTGAAATAGCTGATCTACCTAGTCTGGCTAATCTGGCATATAACTCGTTACATGCTCTGTTTATATCAAGGTCTCCGTTGAAGAGTTTGGGGAAGTAAAAACACACACTTTAAAAGTGGGTGGTGAGGACATTCCAGTGACGAGCGAAAACAGGAATGGTAAGGCAGCCTGTCTTCTCATTTTTAACAGTCTTCTGCGACTTATTTAATAGAATTAAGAAATTTACTTCCACTCCCCTATCAGCAGTTTTCGCACCTTGTGAAATCAACCTACTATGCGAAAGCATGTTTCGCGAGAAAACTATCCAAGCATTAGCAGAAACAATTCTGCCCTTAGTGTTTCATGAAGGAGTACACTACTTACGACAGCTGAAGGAAGTGACCCTCAAGGTATCGCAACGAACTTATGAGGAAGTAAACAAGAGTGAAGCACGTGTTTCTATGCTCTTATAACTGGTTTTACTTGACATTATTACAAATGTCTCTACCAATTTGAATAACTAAATATTTTAACTTTCAAAGATCATTAATAATTGGGGAAGAATAATACATTAATAATAATGTAATAATATAAATTATTACCTGTCTTTCTACATGATACGTTCTCTTATTTTTCCTAATTAGAATACGTCGATCTGTACGTGGACCTTGTTTTGAACAAGGCAATTGCTCAGCCCTTCAAAGCTTTTTACCTGGGGTTCCACAGCGTCTGTGCATCAAATGCCCTCATTGTAAGTCATTCTACCCTCCGTATTTCATAAAAAAAAAAACTATGAACAGAATTGTGTTCGTTTTGCCCTAAACCCTTTGACGTTCAAGTTTTTTTGTTTTTTTTTTCCCAAAACAATGTTTATTAGTGGTCGGGTTTGATTTTCAAATGAATAGGATAAAGAAATGGTCAATGCATAGGGTTTTCTTAACTATCTAGTGGGAACATGTGCAGTGCTTGCAAGCTGTTCAGGTTTAGAAGCATCAAATGGAAATATTGAAGGCGAAAAGTCGCAACCTTTCTTACATTGGGTTTCATTTTGGCGAGTTCCCATTTTGGCGCGTCCGCTTCCCCGACATTTCGGTGGTTTCAAATTTCAAGCCGGAGATACTTTACAGAGCTTCTCCATCAGATGGTAAGCTCTCATATTGTAAATTAAATTCTAAGAAGCGTTCAAAATTCCTAATCTGAAGAGCCGGCGCTCCGATTGCATTACCATCAGAGCAGCCGACATGCGAAGCGACCTTGCGTATCGCGTGCCCGAAGCATTTTTTTTAACGATATATAGACCTAGCAAAGCGAAACAATGTGTGAATATAATGTTTATGGCTCGCCAAAGTCATTACAAATCACACACCTCCCGCGGTGCATGTGGATTCGCGTTTAGGCGGGCACTTTCAAATGTCTAATCGCCGCCGTACACCGCAAAGGGTTAATAAGGGTTAACGACCGGTTAAAAGGGTTAACGACCGTAAAAGGGTTAATAGAGTGCCCAGAAATCTGAATGCTAGGGCTTGCGTGCCAAATAAGTTATTACTTAATTTGGAAGTCTGGCGCACACCAGCGAAAATCTGGGGTAAATGTTGATTCTAGGGGGTATTCACTGGACGTCATATTTGAGGGCGCTGTTTAAAGTGCATGCTTAGAACGAGATCACATTACTAGGCTGCTAAGACCGGCGATCTTAATGGTGTGGAATGAACGTTGCAAAAGAGCTGTCGCGCACACAGCTATGGCCGCCAGTGAGTACTCCCTATACCCCGGTATTTTTTAGAAGTCAGCCAAAATCTTGGCCACACTATGTCTATGCCTCAATAAGCCTCCGTGAGATTTCTGGCACCTCGAAGGGGATTAGTTAGAACCCTCGAAATCGGGCCTGTAGTCCGGCATATTACTTTGGAGTCAATGAGATAGCTAATAGAATGTTAAGGATGAACACATTATGTATGAGAACAGAAGCAGATATCGTCAGTAATAACTTATTGGAAATGACTCAAAACTAATCCAAATTAATGACACTTGAAGGACGCAGTGCAAGCAACCTTTGTCACGCACGGATCACAGGGAAGAGGAGGGTCTTAAAAAACTATTGTGATGGTTTGCTGTGCAAGAAAAACGCACTTGATAAAATTAAAACAAACAGAAGATAGAAGAAAGACAACATACATGAATGGCGCAGACTAACAACTGTAATTTCTTTCTCCTGTTTCTCGCACCGCTCCGTGTTTTGAAAAAAAAAATTATTGTGGCTGGAAAACCTTAATGTTTGGTGCCTTGCATTTTTATGCTTCCAATCTCGATGGTGTTCGCTATTCCGGTGAAGTGATCGATTTTTTTAAAACAACACAGCCCATCACAGCTTTTTCGGTGGACGTGAAGGACATGTACCACAACATTTGCCAGGAAAGAGCAATACAGGCAGTGGAAGAGGGCATCGACGCTTACGGCTCTAAGTTTTCAAGACCAGTTTGGAATCAGCATTAGAGATTTCCTAAGTCTTTTAAGGACCTATTTAGGTTCCCTAAATGTCATGTTCGACGATAACGTATACACTCAAAAAGACAGTAATTTGATCAAGTGCGTTTTTCTTGCATCTACGCAGCGTATTAAACCATCACAATGCCTAACAAACTAGCCCATATCCAAGCATTATTAAAAGAACTAGACGGAAGAAAAACAGCTAAGAGGATTAGAGCTTTATATATCGAAAATGAGAGACAAAAAAGGCATGAGACTTACTTAAACAGCTGAAACACAGGTGCGAGCAGCTCGCTCTATCTCACTGGAACCTAGACTTTAAATCCACTCTCAATTAACCTCGCAGAGCCTCACAGTTGAGCCGTCTGCAATCATTTGATGTGTACTGAGTGAGAAGTTTTCATATGAAGTGTTCCAGATTCGTGTTTAGTGGGCTCTATGATTCCAAAAGGAATAAGGTCTTGCTGTTCCATCCTACAGATGCTTCGACCGGAGGAGGTTGAAATGCTTGTCTGCGGCTGTCCGAAGCTGGATTTAGAAGAACTCCGAAAAGTGACAATATATGATAACTTTGATGAAAATGAACCAATCATCAGGTATTCTCATTTCGTTTATCAGAACATATCAAAGCTAACTGAGATGTAACAGCAGTCTTGAATGACTACTTGGAAAGCAGTTCACTTTGCAAAAAGTTTTAAGCAATACCGTGCTTGTCGCTAATAAGCAAAACTTAGCATTTAAATGCGCACATATCCCTTTCAGAGATTTTTGGGACATAGTAATATCCTTCAGCCCTGAAGTACAGAAGCAGTTCCTACGATTTGCAACGGGAAGCGATCGCGTCCCCGTAGGAGGGATGGGCGAGATGACCTTCAAAATATCTTCCCTAAACAACAACACAGACATGTAAGTATCGGTTGATATCTAGTCTTGTATACAGATGTATGTCTGCCCGGATCAAACAACAACGCAACCAACATGGCAACAACACAAGTACGATTGCTACAATAATTAGTTGAAGTATGCGTAATCAAAATAAGCATACAGATTATAATTTATAGATTAACTTCATTAACACTTATCCGGGGGAAAATACTGCTTAGCGACAGAAAGTGACGTTTTGATGTGCTGTCTCGCAAGAGTGCTATAACTACGCCACTACAGGTATTTATCTTCAACTGTTGAGTAGCCAAACGGATCCACCAGCTTGAACAAGGAATCACGCATCGATAGTGTGCAAGCAGTTAAACCCTAGCACACACTCAACTAAAAGCGACGAGGGTCAACTTACCTCTTGCTCTTTTCTGGACAAAAATCTAGCCTTAGAAAAAAAAATAACTGCCAACTTTGACACTTTGTTTATGCATATGGCAGCGTCTTGCACCTCTAAGATATATGCTTCTTGAACGAGTGATATTTCAAGGTAGAAGGCAGGAGGGAAGAATAAATGAACAGGCTATCTGTTGAAAGCAAGTCCCAAGAGTTTATGCTCAAAACGTAGCCGCAACTAGAGCTTGTGCCTCCTTTTCACTCAGGCTGCCCGTGTCCCACACGTGCTTCAACCAGCTTGTGCTGCCCAAGTACAAGAGCAAGGACGTTCTGAGGGAGAAGCTCATCATCGCCATTTCCAACGCTGAAGGGTTTGGCCTCGAGTAGTTCCTACGAAAGACAATGCTGAAAAAGAAACCAGAAAGGGGCCTTAACATTTCTTTGCTAGAGCACGACACCTGATTTTCTGGCAAGGCAACAAAGCATCAATAAAGTGGAATTGTTTGAGAGAGCCAAAACACGGGCAGTTGAATTTACCATGCAAGTCACATAGTCAAGAACGTCTGCACTTAGGAACTGATTGAGATCCTTTTAAAACCACGCAGGAACAAGATAACTTTTTTTTTTTTAATGCGGGGGCTTTAATTTACGTTGTGAAGGTGGTTGGCCAGCGAAGCTGTGGTATCATCTGCAACGATTGCCCACTGCTCTATTATACCAAATGCCGTCGCTGGTTGTCTTGCCGTTTCTTTTCCCTTTTGCCGCTCCTGGTATTCGCGCTGCTCCACGGTGCTGCAGCAACAACGAAATCAGTTGCTATACACCGTTTCACCTTACGTCCAATCGCGGCCGATGTTATGAGCCATCGGAGCCAATCCAAGGCCGTTTGAGTGTCACGTGACCTCAGAGAGGGAGCACAGCTTAGGATAGCTCGTAGCGGCCGCTGCATCTGGACGTAAGGTGAAACGGAGTATAGGCAAATCCTTTTTTTTTTTTATTTCAGTCTGTTCAGACAATACATCTTGTCTGCAGTACCAAGGCAAAAGACCAGAAGTTCTTACGAGGCCTTGGTACCGCTACATAAATGAAATATTAAAAAGACAATGACACTCGTCGACAGCAGAGCACACTAAAACAAGAAGCGCTCTTAAATAAAATGTAATGAATAACAAAATATAAATATCAATGACATTTACATAGTACACATTTTTTATACTATAAAACTATACTGTAATACCGTAACACAAAAAGAAAACCTACACCAAAAACAACAACAACAACATAGATAGCAACGAGGATAAAACCAGATATTTCAGATCAGTTCGCAACATTTGTGGGCAAGAGAGTTTCTTTCACGATGCTTTTGTATTTGTTTAGCGATATATTTTACATAATAAGTGTATGAAGATAACTATGTGTATTAAGGAAGTTTGGAATTTGAAATGAGAGCGTTTGTCTGCCCATGTTTGTCCTGATTTTGGGGAGTATATACTTGTCATTTCGAGTCTTGTGACGGTGGTCGGGTCTAGTGCATGCAGATGGATAGCTAGGTTCTTGAAGTCTATGGTCATGGAATATGTAGAGTGCTAGTTTATAAATGTAGAGATGCTCAAAGCTCAAAATTTTATACTTCTCAAAAAGCGGAGCTGTATATGCATCATAAGCAGAATTTTGCATTAAACGAACAGCCTTTTTTTTTTGTAATAAATGCAGATGTGCGATATTTGTTTTTGTCGTCTGACCCCAGACAAGAAAGCAATAGTAAACCTTGGTATATATCAGCGCATAATACAGTTGGTACTTCAGCCATTCCGGTAAAAGATGCTTTGCAGATGAAATTAGGCCTATGGATTTTGAGATTTCGTTTCGTATTTTATTTACATGGTGCGTCCAATTGAGGCGTTCGTTAAACCATACTCCAATAAACTTATGATTATCGACACGCTCAATTTGAGCTCTTTCGAATTGCAGTTCAAGGTGAGTATTGTGGGCGCGATTTTTTGAGGAAAAAATTACATATTTTGTCTTTTCTGTATTGAGAGATAAACCGTTAGCCACCAACCAGGATGAAAGTTCAATTAAATATTTGTTTATTGTGGTCTCTAGTTCGCTAAGATTGGCCCCAGAAAAAATGCATTTGTATCATCGGCATACAGTATTAAATCTTCGGTAGATTGTATATTATGTATGTCATTTATATAGACGAGAAACAGTAAAGGTCCCAGTATCGAGCGTTGTGGTACGCCATTTTTTATTAACCCTAGAGGCGATTTTATGTTATTATGAACCGTACACTGTGTACGAGATGTAAGGTAACTTGTAATAAGCTTATGCGCAGTCCCGCGTATGCCATATGTCTCGAGCTTTGAAAGGAGTGTGTCATGTTTTATGGAATCAAAAGCCTTTCTAAAATCGATAAATAAACCATATGTAAAACATTGTTCTTCAATATTACGTAATATTTTTCTTTAATGTGCAAAAGCGCTAGTTCGGTAGTTTTCCCCTTTTGAAAACCATACTGTTGTTTGATTATGACATCGTACCTAGAAAAAAATTTTTGAAGCCTTTCATTAATTGCTTTTTCAATTACTTTTGAGAACAACGGCAACACTGATATTGGTCTGTAGTTTCCTAACTCATGCTTTGAGCCACCCTTATATATGAAAGGCTAGTGACGTCACTCCCCACGACGGAAGCTGCCGTTCTCGCGGCAGCTTGTGCAACAGTAATCTTTACCACGAAACGTATGCGGTGAGCGCTACGTGCTTTGGATTGCTATCAGGAGCGCCTTATCATCAGTTATGTGGTTAGGAATCTTAGGATGCATGTTTTGTGCTTTTCTTTATTGGAACGAATGCTGTACTGTATGCTGTATGCGTGATGTATGCACCTTTCGCTTCTATAGCTGCAAGTTTTTTTTGTTTGTTTTTTCTTTGTGAGGAAGCCGACACCAAAAAATCCGACCAACGAGCTTCGTTGTACAATGTAATATACTTTTGGCGGAGCTTTAAAACGCTCTGTTGAGAAAGCGTGACACCGGTAAACGTCCCCCCCTGGCACACACTACACACACAATATACGTATTTAAAAACTGAGGTGTGTGCCTACCAGATTTCTCGGGTTTCTGGGTGGTTCCTCGTTCAAGATTCTCTATACTGCTGCGCTCCCGACGTCATTGCCATTTTCGTTGCCCTATAATGCCAAGGCTGTCAATGTCTTCCCAATACGTATGCTTCTTACACAATATACAACTTCCGTGTGGAAATATTCGAGCCGTCTGCACATTTCGCATTGATGGTTCGCAACTGAAGATTCAGTGGCGTACTCACGGTCTGAAGCCTTGGGCGGCAGAATTCGAGAGGAGGCAAATTTCAGAGAGGGCCAGGCTAGGGTGGCGCCGACAGTTGGCAAGCTAATCTTAACCCTGCGCGTATAGTACGAAGAAAGCAGGACTGTGCCTCCTTGTCTAACCGCATAAAAAAAAAAAAGAGGAAAGAGCACACATGCAGTTATTTACAAAGGACAACTTGCTCCTTTAATTAAGTGGCGCTACGTGTGCGCTGGCAGTCAGTTCATCGAACGACGTTTCATCGACAGATATTTTCATCGACACGGGATGTTTCATCGAGGGATTGTTTCATCGACAAATCGTTTCATCAACAGCTCAAACTAGGCTTTTTTTCTTTTTTTTTTTAATAAGCTGCATAAGATTGTTGCCGCGAAGCGGCGTGTACGGGTCGGTCAGGTGGCTTAACATCTTTGTAATGAGCCACCGCAGACTTTCGCCGCAAAGTGGCGTAAACGCAAGGCGGGGGCGGTGGTTGACAGGCATTCGTGATACCGCTTGACGAAATGTCCCTACAACGTGCAATTCGCGTAACGAGTGTCGGTGAAACGTTCGTGTCGACGAAACGTGTGTCCAGGAAGAGTTGTCCACGAAACGTAATTCCACGAAACGAGTTTCAACGAAATGATAGGGGCCCCCAAGGTTACGTGAACGAAGGCAGAGGGGCACGGTGTCATAAGATGGACGCAAGTCTTTGTACCGGTACCAGCAGCACGAACACACACGCGAAAAACAAAAGCAGCGTATCGCACTCACTGCTCCACGCAGAAGAGAGTCGGCCCAGGTCGTTGCCAGGTGGCCAGCTTGACTCGCCAAACGAAAGCGAAAGGGTCTATGCCTTAATTAAACGTGAGGAAGATACATAGAAAGGGGGGGGGGGGCGCCCCCCCCCCCCTTTCTATGTTTCTTCCTCATGTTTAATTACTGCTACCAACACGCTCGTTTTGTACTCGGGTCTATGCCTGAAACATTAAACAGCGAGACGCTGCGATTGAACCTGACCGCGGCGATGCAGTGGCTCCCGCGCCAGTTCGTGTTTCTTGACATATTCTTATATTTCTTATCATTATTCTTATATTTCTTATCACTTGAAAAAGAGCAGGCCCTGCTCGAAACGTCGAAATTAAAGCCTCTGCTGCTGGCCACAATTTTTTCTACGTCTGATACTCTCTTGGCAGCGTTGGGTAAAGTACATATAAAAACTACTTCAAGTAAAGTGTAAAGTAAATGAGACGTGATGTACTTCAACTAAAGTAGTAAGTACACTGGGTGCAATGTACTTGAAGTAAAGTACTATAAATACAGTGCACTTCCAAAGTGAAGTACACGTGTTATAACACAATCTTTCATGATGCTCTTTCATTCCCTATACAGCGATTTTTTAACTGGTATGCATTGCCCAGGGGTAATCAGAGGAGCATGACCTATTTTCAAAAACAGCGGGGAATATTTGATAAAGTCGAGTGGCCACAGAGTAGTTATTTTCAGGAATGAAGCCAAATTCAGAAGTTCCTCTTCCGACTTTGGCGCCACTTGCACTGGATTGTTGCACCCAAGGGGGTTAAATGTACTAGGGGAGAGCATGACGTCCGCCCCGTAGCTTCCGCAAGCAATCCTCTCATAGAGGAGTGCCCTCTCCCTAATGAAAAAAAAACAAAACAGTGAGTGTGCAAGCGAGCTGGTGATAATAATCATAATGTGACAACTGGGATCGGGGTGCGAGAAAATTAAGTAAATTTCAAGTCGAAGGAAAAGACAAAAGAGGATTTCATTTCATTTCATTTATTGAACCTTAAGGGCCCGTGAGGGCATTACATAAGGGGGGGATCATTCATATTATACATTGGAAAAACAGACAAAAAATAATACATTCAGGAAAAGGTTGGTAAACAGTTAACAACATAAAAAGTGCGATTGAAGACTTGATTTAAAGGCGTTTGGTTCTACGATGGTGACGATGGAGGATGGGAGGCTGTTCCAGTCTTTGATAGCTTGTGGGAGAAAAGATCGGTTGAAAGCGTTTGTTGAGCCAGAGATCCTT